CAGCTGGTTCAAAATGCTCCCTTTTCTCATGTCGAACTGTCCCCACTCCAATATCATCGTCAAGAGTCCAAGGGACCGATTCTTGCTTGTGGGCTCCAAGCTCTGGATGAGGACTCTGTAGGCCTCCAAGCCGTTCGACTCCTTCACCTGCTTGATCAGGGAGAGAGGCCTATGACGTAGGAGGGATGCCAACAAGGCATACAAGAAGCTGCTTCGTTGACGCTCTTCATCACTTTGGAGGGCCACTTCAATCTCCCTTCCTGGATTGGACCTGAGCTCCTTGATGTCCTCGATGAAGTTGGAGTCCATGGAAGAAAGATATTGCTCCAGGCTCCATGAGAAGTCTCTCCACTGGGCGATCTCTTCCTCCCTTGAGTGTGGGTCGAAGTTAGGAGGCTTTGGTAGGATTCGAAACCAATTTCGATCCTCTGGCTTCTTGGACACCGCTTCCACTGCGGCTCTTGCAGCCGCCCCAGCTGCCTCCACCGCCTGGACCATTCGTCGGGCTATTTCGGCTCCGTCAACTGCACCTCCAGCCACACTCCCTGTGGGAGAACCTGGTATTGGAGATCCTTCCAAACCAGCCATTTCCGCGTGCTCTCACCCTCCTTGGGCTCAAAAACGATGGGCTCCTGGTGGATGTAGGGATCACGGGCAAAGGGAAAAACTTGTAATCGAGGATGAACTCTTGCAGTGATTGCGTTCGCGCGGCCGGGCCACCGACCAGGGGATTCGGGTCCTGTCCCCAAGGATCCTGGAGCCTCAGGCAAGAGCTATGCAATTGCCGTCCCGGGCTCCGCTACCATGCGGATCCTTTCGACAACCTGAAACGGCGGCCTGTATGTACACTTCTCGATCTGTGCATGTCACCTTTGGTGTAAACATGTGAGTGCTTCTCATGCTGTTTCGCAGATGGAAATTTGACCTAAACGACCGCAATGCGGACAAAAAAAACCGCCTCTGATAGCTTTCGACCTCCTGCCCCCTGGCCTCAAGTTTTGTACGTCCCGTTCTGGAAAAACATAGTTGGGTCTTTGTGTTTGGCTCACCTTTAATTTGGCAAAGGTGTAACATTGCATGCAAAAAAAAAGGACCAGAACACTCGAATTGTTGCGCGTGTTGAAGTTTCAATGCAATACGGTTGAATTTTCATTCCTTTTTGTCATAGTGGCACATTGTTCTTGTACCAGGTTCCAAGCGCTAAGTCGGTTGAATGTGTTTCTTTGCGGGATTGTGAAGATGCTGGTCAACTATTGTTCCTTCCAATCACAGGTTTCCCAGATGTAGTTGGAACATGATGCAGTCGCAAACTTGTAGCAGGCATTGGTTCAAACCTATTGTTGAAGGCGAACATCAACAAAATTTCTTTCTTTACCTGCCACACAGCAGTAGCAAAACCAACTCTATGAACCTATGATCAAAAACCCTTTTACCATTGTCACGGCTTTGAACAAGAGAGGTGCTTTGAACCTGACATCGCTTGGGCATTTCACACCATGGGATGACTGCTGGGCCGCTGATTGATGATCTTTGGGATGACTGGAAACCAGTTGAGCAAACGGCCTTGGATTTCCTGCTAGTGCCCTTGCCGATTTTCTCTACATGTTTTTTGCGAACTGCCATATGGCCATAGGGCCTCGGAATTCGTTTCACAACCAAGGGCCAGAATGCAGAAGACGAAGACGAAGAACCCGAGGAGGATGACGAAGATGAATGGAACCCTGTGTGTCAGGGTGCCGCAGATGAAACTTGTGAAGGCGGTGAAGGTGGTGGAGAAAGTGCGGACGGTGAGGAGCAGAATTTAAGCAGCAGAGCGGAGCAGAGCAGAGCAGAGCAGAGTATCCTTGATATCACCATCTCTGACTCTTCTCCATATTCCCTTTCTTAGAACACAGAGTTTTAGTCTGTGGTTGCCAAGTCCGTTTTGCCGACAGGACTCAGACAGCGATTGGGCACCTGAGATTCAGGGTGCGGCCAATGTTGAGAAAAGTGAGGAGGAGGCTTTGAAAGTACTCTTGCAACCCAATTTTGTCAAGGAAACTCCTCCAGAGCCCCTTGCAAGCACTGCAACTTTTGAGATTTTTTTTTTTTTCCGTGCTGCATGTAAAGGTTTCAGATTCTTTCTGAAACTGCAACAACATTTACACTCAAGAATCTCGTGAAATCTCGTGAAAAAGAGTATTTCTTCTTCCGTCAAGGTCCCTGCAGACGAAAAAGGAAGCGGATGCAGCTGGCCGAATGCTCCACGAGATGCGAAGGTGGGTTGGTAAGTTTTGTCAACTCACTTTTCATGTGCATTTCGTTGAGGCCACCGACTTGGGAGGAGGTGAAAGCGGAAATTCCTCGTGGACCTGATGTTGACCCAGATCTCATCGAAGCTCCTTCTTATCGGGACATGTCTCAGGAAGAGGCTCTTGATCTTGTGCGTCGAGGCTGGTCAACCCTGAGAGATGTTGACAAAGCGATATGATATACAACAATTTTCAACGTTTCAATTTGCGTGCTCAAACTTGGCTGCTTGGCTCTTCATTTTGAAACGCTGAGATATGTTGTGATGCCAAAAATTGGCAAGGTGCCTCTGTGAACTTCCAGGGACAACATGGTCGAACGCCTCTTCACAAAGCAGCAGAGAAGGCGTTTCCGGTCCTGATCAAGGCTCTTTGCGAAGCGCGAGCCGACCCTGACAGCAGAGATCACTTTGGTATCTTGTTGGCAAATTGGACCTTTTGCCATGATCCGCTCTGGAAGCCTTTTTTGCCGGATCTGGCGGAAATGGTGGAAAACATGTTCAAAACATGTGACCGGTGGCTCGCGACCTTGGTCAAGGTGAGACACCCTTGCATGTCTTGGCCAAGTCTGGCCACGACGAAGCCATCTCCAAGTCTCGGCGATGTGAAGCGATTCAGATGCCCGGCCCGACAAGCGGGCATGAGCCCCGCCGCTGGAGGTCTTTCGATCGGTGGTCGGGGCGGAGGGTGTAGGTGATCTTGTTCACAAGACTGTAGAATCATGTCCTAAGAGCTTCGGGATGCAACTAGATGCATTGGATGCCGAGAGCTGGGGAGGGAGAGAGCTGGGGACCTCGCTCAGGATGCTGCTATGCCATGGTGCAGACGTACATGCAGTGAACCCTCGAGGCCGTGGTGTTCTTCACTTAGCTGTCACGGAGCATGACTTGCCAGCAATCGAAACCCTGATTGAAGGCCAGCACCTCAGAGGAAAGACACAGCAACGTGCCAGGCTGCGCGCGCCGCATTCAGTTGAGTTCCAGGGTTTTCCCTAAGGCATGGCAGATGTGAATGGGCAAGACCTGGCTGGATTCACACCGTTGATGTGGGCAGCCGGGCGGGACAGTGCCGACGGTGTGAAGATGCTGTTAGATTGCGAGGCGAGGCGAGTAGATGCGGTTTGTGATCATGCTGGTGATGCAACGCACTATGATAGGATCACCGTGCATAGCACAAACTCATTCAAACCGCAAAATTGTCACAGTGCGTCGCAGATCTTTGTTTTGAGAGTGGCACAAGGCTGACTTGCTGGTGAAAGCAGCCCGCGGTCAAACTGCTATGACCTTTGCTTTGACAAACGGGTGCAATGCAATCGTAGACATTCTGGACAAACATCAAGCCATTCTGGATGCTGAAGAGGCGATTCTGTTTGCGCATATATGCCACAGAACTGACGACTGGAGATCTAAGTGTACGGACAGAGGGCATGAAAGCAGCATTTCATGATACCTCATATCTCAAAACCTGCTCCCAAGTTGGATTTAGATTCTACGTTCGGAGATTCCATAAGACCTGTGCGCATTTCATCTCCAAAGTTGCATCCAACACTTGAAATCTTTTCCTAATTTCAGTCAGGGGCAAATCTCCAGCATTTTCCATTCAAGATTGCAGGCCAGACGAATCAAGGAGAAGGGTGAGCAGCGAGATGAGGATCTGGAGGCGGGACGAAGTGTCCAAAACATTTGCAATTTTCATGTTTTTGTTTTTTGGCTCGCTCCCCTCCTCCCTACTAGTAAGAAGTGCATTTCTACTAGCAACAAGTGTTTCTTGTTTAAGTTGGCTGTGGACAGGTCTTTTTCCAAAAGCCCAACCGTCCCAACGCATGCGGCGTTTCCGGTTTTTTGTTTTATCCGTCCACCGTGCACCGACCCCACCGTGCACCGACCCCACCGTCCACCGACCCCACCGACCTGTCCGACCAGTCACCAGAGGACTCGGGAGAGGGCCAGCCGACGTGTCGGATGTTCAGTTCGGCAGGAGAACTGGACAGAGACCTTGCAGCTGCCCAAGCCTGAATGGGCTTGCAAGCATGAGAAGCCAGCCAACCTGGAGCCATATGCCGGAAGGAGGATCTATGCAGAAGCCAAGCCAGACAGGCCAGTGAGCTGTCTCGAGATTTTGAGCCTTTTTTGTTCCAGCGCAGTTTGCTCTGCTTGTTACTGCACTGTTCCGGATGGATGTTGAGGCACTCCAATGTCTATGTCGGCAAGTTTGGGCCATGAGAGAGCTCGGCAAAGAAACGGACACCGGGACGATCGAAGAAATGGACGAAAGCGGACGTCCATGAGCCCATTGACCTTCTTCTCGAGAGTTGAAAAAGGCTGAGTTGTTCGAGTTGATACTTGACATTTTTGTTGAAATGTCTCTCAAAGGGCTGCCAGACAGGTTCCGAAGCAGGTACCCGGTGCACGATTATCTTAAGAAGCCTTTCAGAACGAAGCAGCTAGAGCAGCTTGTCAGCTTGCATGTGTGGTCAACAAACAGTGCATCATAAGATGGACAGTCTGATTCTGACTTCTGCGGGCCATTGCTGCTCAGAAGATGTTGTATCGTCGTTGACTATACTTTTAATCGTCCTTGCATGTTGTCCTGCTTGAAATGAAAAAGAGGGCCTTGAGCTGAGTTGCACTTCTCATTTCTGCGGCAGGATGACTCAGATATGACTCAGATATGACTCATGTGACGGGCTGGCCCGCTGGCTGAGGCTGAATCATGGTCCATGATTCGGCAGAAGGAGATCCTTTGAGACCTCATAGTGAGTTGTGGCTGGCTTTCTCCGCGAGTCTTGCAGGAGATTTCTCCTTCCGCGACTATTTGTCCTGCAAACTGAACTTCGTGAAGCCTGGCCCTCGCTCCGCGCGCGTGGTGTGCTGCGCCAACCATCCTCACCCCACCCTGCTGGGTGACGCGCCGTGCCCAGGTGGCCACCTTGTGGTACAGATCCGGAGACGTCTCGCACCAAGAAGGTCCGAATCGGTCCGTCGGCATCGGCTTTGTCCGGCTTGTTCCGCTGTGCGCCTCGGAGATGGTAGGTTTTTCTTGGAGAAGCGGAGCTGTTTTGTGGCCGGAAGAGCTTTCTTTCTCGAACAGCTCCCTTATGCTACTTTGCTGACTCAGCTCACTCTTACGAACCGGCCCTGCTTTGCAACGAGCCGGCCTTGGTGTCTCTTCCACATGAACCTCCCGTTCTCTAAGCCAGGCCTCCTGGCTTGGTCGTTGCTGTCGACGCTTGAAATCCACAGGCGGGAGGGACGACCGGTACCATCGGTCACGGTGGTTCGATGACATCGATGGCCCAGGTGAAGAACCAGATCTGGAAGCAGGAGCTCAAGCATCGCAGCTCAAGAGCCTTGAGAACTACCAACATCGCCACGATTTGCTTCGTGGCAGCTCTTTCTTCGAAGTGGCAGGAGTCCCACCGGCTGTGAGCAAGACGCATAGCAAGATCAGCAGAGGCATGAGCTTGCGGTGTTGGTCGAGATGCACCTCTGTCACCCAGCTTTCCTGAAAATTTAGCCCTCATCAGGATACCCTGCATCAAAAGTCTAAATTGATTTGGGTGGCCGTGCTCAAACGTCTTCCTTTGCATTGCAGTTTCGACACTGCTCACTGCGCTTGCACTGCGCTTGTTTAGGCAACTCGGTAAGCTTTGCCAGTGCCCCGTCGTCCACTTCTGCGAATGAGGAGTTGCATCCTCGGAGCGGAGAGGTGGTAGAGCTCGCTGGGTCGCCATGACGACCGAGCCGAAAGCATTTTACAAAGGAACTCGATTTTTGTTTTTGTGGGACAAACGGTGGTGGAAGCCAATTCCCACCAAAAATGTCAATCCTCTTGATGTCGCACGTGATCCTCTGTTGCTTCTGTGGCTCAGGTTGATGTCGCACGCTGTGCCCTTTGATCCGGAAGAGTTCCTACGGCCGGTTTGTCAGTCAGACCTCGTGGACAGGCAGGTCGTGTAGCGACGAGAACGACAGCCTTCTGTAGCAAAGAATTTTGCTAGATCTCGTGGGCCTGAAGAAGGACCTTGGGAAGATGGAACATCTAAATGGCTAGTAGCAGTAGTTCCCCAAACAGTTTACTGTTAGGGGTTCTTAATGCTTTACAGAATGGTCGCCTTGGTGCTGGATGGTCTGGTCGGGTTCCCGGCCGGCTTGTCTCTGACTTCCCTTCATTTGTCTCCCAGTTCTTTTCATTTGTCTCCCAGGCTGGGTGCTTGTGGTCGGGTTCCCGGCTGGCTTGTCTCCCACTTCCTTTCATTTGTTTCCCACTTCTTTTCATTTGTCTCCCACTTCCTTTCATTTGTCTCACACTTCTTTTCATTTGTCTCCCAGTTCTTTTCATTTGTCCCAGGTCGGGTTCCCGGCTGGCCTGTCTCCCACTTCCTTTCATTTGTCTCCCACTTCTTTTCACTTGTCTCCCAGTTCTTTTCATTTGTCTCCCAGGCTGGGTGCTTGCGGTCGGGTTCCCGGCTGTCTTGTCTCCCACTTCCTTTCATTTGTCTCCTCTTCTTCCCAGCTCTGGACTGCTGTGTCCGCCTCTGCCTTGCAATCCTTTCATTTGTCTCCCAGCTCTGGGCTGCTGTGTCCGCCTCTGCCTTGCAATCCTTAACTTTACATGTGTCTCCCAGCTCTGACTGCTGTGTCCGCCTCTGCCTTGCAATCCTTTACATGTGTCCTCGCAAGCCTTTGCATTTGTCTCCATGTCGCTTGCAATCCTTTACATTTGTCTCCCTGTGTCTACATTTGTCTCCCAGCTCTGGACAGCTGTTTCACCGTTTGGAAACAACACCCATTCTGTGACGGGGTTTCACCTTCACTCCAGGGTCGTTGCCTGGTTTTGGGCCTTTGTGTGGGGTGGGAAGTGGGGTCAGCGTGGAAGGTGACCGTTCGGAGGATGTTTCCTTACACCCGAGCCATGGTGCAGGTTCTACAGCAAGCTAGCAGCAGAGTATGAGGCACAGGGGGAAGGGCACCGGAAGTCTTTGTTTGGCGAGTGCGGGGCGGAAGATTTCCAGTGGGCCTCTCATGTGTTTCTCAAGGTTGGTTCCACAAGAATGCGACAAAAGTCTTGACGAAGCACTGGCCCCACTCCCTCCCAAGCTTCATTGTTTTTGATGAGTTCTCAGCATCGTTTTCGCTTTCTGATGATGCAACACTGTCTGGGACTGCAGAGCGATCTTCTCAGTCCTAGTGTTGCTTTGGGACCTCATGCGGCAGCTTGCCGTCTGTCAAAACACAGCCCCAAGAGCGCCTTGCGTAAGACGTTTCCTCGAATGAAAAAATATAGAAACAGAACTGTTTGAAGGCCAAAACGAAACAAACGCAAAAGAAGGAAAACTGGGATATGAAGACATATGAAGAACCACCAGTTTCAAAAGAGCACAGTGTCCACACCGAGAACCTCCGCCTGTCCAGGCTGCTGCTGCTGCCTCTGCATCTGGACTGGCAGAGGCGACCGCACTTCCGGGCCGTTTCCGGGCGTTGATGTGCGCGGATTCTCACGTGGCTCGGATTCTCAGTGTTTGATTTGGGAGAGTCACATGTGGTCATTGTGGTGAGTGAGTTTTGGTTGGAGTGAACAAAAGAGTCTACTTGGTTGTCAATGATGCTGTTGATAGTGTCCTAATTTGGAGACATACTCAAGAGAGGGGATCTAGCTGCGCCAAATGACAGCAATGAGACGCCGGACTGGACGACTATACGCAACTCCCGGCTATTCACAGAATCCACCCTGAGGTTTGCAGTGTCCTGTGTCCTTTTGATTCCCAGCAACTTTGCCAGGAGGGTCTGTTGCCATGGCGAGATTCGGGTGTTCAAGCCTCAGTGGAGTTTGTCCAAGCCTTGAATGGTCATAGGAGGAACGGTCAAGGTGTCGCGGCACCGCTCACCACCCTGTCGAGGCGGCCTTTTCCCTTTCGCCCACCACGAAATCTGAGAACATGGCATCGCGGGAGCCTCATCACAGCGAGGACAGGGACCAGGCAGAATCGGAGGACATCGGACTTGACATAGATACAGTGTGAAGAAGTTTTTGTTTGCACATACGTTTCACAGAATTTCAGTGAAAAACATGCGAGATGTCAATGATGCCAATGAAGGTGCGTGACAATGCTTGCATTTCTTTTTGCCAAGACACTAGATGCAGGCTCTCAATCAGACAAGTCTCTTTGAATAGTTGTTCGTAAAGTCTCAAGTTTGTGCCAACATAGCAATTCCATAAGTCTGGTCGTTCGTGTTTTCCAACACGAAACCCTTGAGATCTCACTCTGGGGTACAGAGTTCATGAGAAGGGTGTCCTTGCATGACATCCAACAGACAACCTGGCGTGACATCCAACAGACGGACCAAGCAACGCAGGGTCCTGTGAGGAAAAATACCAGGGTCCTGTGAAGGAACCCATGCAGGTTGTGCTTTTATAACAAACAGCACAAAGCACAATGTGAGCAACATCCAAAAGGGTCTGTGCACAAATCTTTTTGTGAGAGGAGCTTTTGCATAGAAATCATGAGGGGACCAAGTGAAGCAATATCGTGAACAACACAAAGCAATACCCTCATAAGGTACACCTCGATCATTTGATTCAAGTGTTATTGTTGTTTTTGTTGCTTTACACAAAGCGATACCTACTTGCTTGCTTGCTTACTTGCTTACTTGCTTGCTTACTTACTGACTTACTTCCTTACTTGCGATACCTACTTGCTTGCTTGCTTACTCACGTACGTACGTACTTACTTACTTACTTACTTCCTTACTTCTTACTTAGTTCACATTACAGGCATCCGAAACCCTGCAAAGTGATGTAGCGAACAACCAAAAGCGATACCAACCTATGGAGTTCTATTGTGCACATAGGTTTTGGTGCAAAAGCACAACGTGTGTACAAAAGGGCCTCCCAATATTCATGAAAAGCACCTTGTTCCCTTCTTCCCTTCTTTTGTCCCTAGTGCTTTCTGGGAGGAATTGCCTTCGCTTCGCTTCGCTTCGCCCGCGCCAGAAGGCCGTCCGGACCCGAGGTCACGATCCTGGAATGTGGGACCCGCAGCGGGCAACTCAGTGGTGCTGAATGGTCCTGGATGCGATCTTCATGTATCTGATTTTCTCAAGTGGATGAAGTGGATAACTGGATGTCATGTAACTGTATCTCTGATGTTACAATGAGCTCCTCATCGCTGTCCACATTTTTTTTCCAATTCGTCTCCGTGCTTTTTGTGCGAGTCCTATTTCGCCAGTTCTTGTCTGGTCTCTTTTGCACCAGGACAGCAGCTCCTATGCCGCGACGCGCAGGGTGGGGTTCTTTCCAGTTGCGGATTGCTGAAGTGTGATTGGTGACCTCCCTTCGCTTTCACCGCGTTCCCCTCCGGGTGAGGCGAGTAGCCTGGGCGATGCGTCCGCCTTTGGTCGATTGGATGCCGAAGACACGGAGCCAAGCCATGTTCCTTCGAAGACGGGGTCTTAGCAGCTAGCGAGAGCGAAGCGGAGTGTGTGAGGCAAAAAAGTTGCTGTGAACATATTTGATTTGATGTTTTTTGAGGTTCCTTGATGTTCCTTGAAAGAATATGTTCCTTTTCAAGTTTTGTTTCCCTTCATGTGCACCTGGGGTTCAATTCGTCAAACTGAGGGATGATGAGGGGCAATCTCCAAAGGCCAGGATAGGGCAGGTCGTCTTGCTTTCCTCGTTGTTCATAGGATGAAGCACATTAAACTGAGTTGTTGGCAGAAAAAGGGGAGAAGCGACCGGGCACATTTTTCAGAGCTTTGATGATCATAAGCTGCTAGTTCGTAGGCCCTAGGCTTCACAGCAGACTGCTTTGACCTAAGGTTGGTTGCAACATTCCGCTAAGAAGCCTTCTGGATCAACCTGACAAAAAACGCTTCGTTTTTTCGACTAAAAACTCTTGGTCATGTGAATAAAATGCCTTGGTTGAGTGATGTACCGGGGCTCTCCCGCATGACCAGAGATGCCATCCCGTGCCACGATGCATGCCTGGATAGGGATGCATGCCATCAATCAGGGGCAGCATCTAATTCAGCTATCCCGACTCAACTTCCCATCCAGTCAGCCACTCGTATCTTGAGGGTCCAAAATGGCCATTCTACTGGACTGTGCCACGGTCGACCGGTCGCCGCCTTCAGCCCCCAGGCCGCGCCCGAGGCGCGAATGGGTCGTGCACAAGAAGAGCTTAAGAGCACCATCCGACTCCATCAAGAGCACCAGGGCGTTCTCAGAAGTGTTCTCTCTTTTCAAGTGTGGTCAACGTTCCGTTTTGAAAAAGACAAGCACCAGGGCGTGAAGTTGACCACCATCACAGGTGCAGTTGGAGCATAACCCTGAGCGGAGCCCACCGGCGCGGCCTTCCCGTCCCTCGCGGAGTGCACCGCTCATCTCGTTGGAGTCCATTGACGATGTGAATGTGGAAGTGATCCGCAGCCCAAGTGGCCAAGTGAAGCAAAAGCATTTGGTTTTTGCCATGGTGGAGGAGAAGACGGGAGAAGCCATGAGAAACCATGGAAAAGTCCCTTTGTCCTTGGTAAGATCAGTTTCAAGATGTTTTAATTACATTTGGTGGGTTTTTATCCCCCATTGGTGTGTCTTTCTTTCTTGTGGTCCCGCAAAAAAGACCGACGCCTTGATGCTCTTTTGCATCGTAAGCGGGTTTTGGTTGTGCGGACTCGGTGTCCAGTTTGGGCTTCTGTCTCCCATTCTCACAGGAGGAGCCGGTCTTCAAAACGGCCTTGAAGTCAGTGCAATTCGTTGGGGTGGATTCGAACGCTCCGGAGGAGCAGATCTTCTAAACGCGAAGGGGGTGACATGTCGGGCCTCTGGAACGGAGGTGAATATGAAAATAAGATTTTGGTCTATAGTTATGTCAAAGTTCATTTTCTTGTAGTCTTATACAACTTGCTGTTAGTTCCATGACTTTGAAATAATTTGATTCGACGAGCCATGCTGCTTGGAATTTCTGTTTGGTGGTGGCTGATATCAACTCTTTTGCTTGCAGGAAAGCCCGACGAGGAACAGATTGGCAGATGGTGCAGGGCCATTGCCACCGCGGGAGGATTGCTCGACAAGTTGACCCAACGATCTGCTTTTAACAAGAACGAATAATATACTTTTTAATTATGTTATGTGGTAATCCTTCTCTTTATCCTAACGGGACCCTTGAAACATTCTTTAGACTTTGGTTCCTTTTCAACTCATTTCTTTTGTTTTGCAAACTGTAGCGGTGAGTGATGATAGTATTGTAGCAGAATTCGTGCAAACCTGACAAACTTGCATGAGACCATCCGCAACGAAAACGTCGTTCCTTGATTTGTCGACTCCAAGATGTTTGACATCTCCTGACCGCGTCGCGAGTGCTCTGAGTGGTGGTGAATCGCTCAGACCGGCCAGGAGAAAGCCATTGAGACATCTCCTCGCTCCGACCTAAGACTGCCGGGGGGTCGGCCCCGATCGGAACGGAGAGGCAGAGGCAGCGAAGACCTGTTCCAGACTGGCAGCTCATTGATCTTTGTAAGAACTGATTTGATTTTGTGTGATTTAGTTAAAAAGATCTTGGGCGTGTTCGTCCACTTCCTTACTTCCTTCCGTCCATCGGTCGTTCGTCCATCGTCCATTGTGAACCGAGAAACAGCCCAGGTGGGGATGCAGAAGTCACCTCCTGTGTCCAGGAGAGCTGTCCCGGACGCGGTCAAGGTGGAACCACTGGAGCACCGTCCCGTCCGCGTGTGGAGTCGGCCTTAACCGTTGGTGGAGCTGTTGAGGTTGTTTTCCGCCCCAACGGGGTGTCTGAAGAGGTCTTTCAACTTGTTCTTGAGGTTTTTGTCTCCCTGAAATTTCTGGTGAACGTTGAACCTTCGCAGGATGTACATATTGAGCTGGACCTGGAGGAGGGGCATCACTTGCCAAACACCGAAAGAAATCACGGAGTTTCTGATGGTTCCTTGTTTGCCCTGATGTTTGTTCATTTCAAGACTTCATTTCAGACCTTGGCATTCAGAACAGTTCCACCCAACGATGTCGTCAGACTTTTGCGTCAGACCAACTATTTCTCTCACGTTGGCGTCAGGACAAAAAGAAAGAACGGAGGAGTGTGATGAGTGTGAGATGAGACACTGTTCGCCAATTCGATGAGACACCTCGCTTCTCCTTCTTCGCGAGGAGAGAAAGTACTTCGAGCGCTGAGTCCAAAACCGTGCCTCGAGTGCCGGGATCCGAGCGCTTTGTGGCGCCGCTTCTCACCATGGTTCCCCGGGCACGGCCATGTCCGACACACACACATACACTCAGAAAAAGGACGCTACGAACGGGGCGAAACTGGCCTTACTACTAGTAACAAGGTTCGCTACGAACGGGGCGAAACTGGCCTCGCGACTCGAACGGAGCGTTCGGACGCTCACCAAACGGGGCTCACTCGGGACAGCGCCGGACTGGTCCAGCCGGACGACGGTGAGTACCGAGGCCAAGAGTCAGTGACGAGGATGCCTTGGCTGCGCTCGAGGTGGGGCCGTGGCAAGGATCAATTGATAGGTTGGTGAAAACTTCTCGGTTCCGTCACCTGAGGTGAAGAAAAACAAATTGGTCGCACTGTTGAGATGTATGATCTATGTAATGAACGAAACCCAGAGAAACCAAACTAACAAAGTACAAAAACAAACACACTTCTTGTTTTGGAGATTTCCTCTCAGGTTGCTCAGTGGCAGCCTCGCAAAGATCAAACGAAGGCGCAAGTGAAGCGCTGCCTGTCGCACTGCATGTTTGACACGCGCAGCGAAGGCACAACGAACATTTCTCAGCTTCCAAATGTGTCAGGTTCCGACACAATGCTCATTGTCCACAGAGGAACGCGAGGAGCCTGTCCTCTCTGGTTCAAGATGGGTTTCAAGCAGTTCTGTTTCAATGTTGATAGGCTGCGAAACGCTCAAGCAAGAGTTTGCTAGCTTGAAAAGTAACATATGTTTTCTTGCCAGTTTCGTTTTCTTTGCTCCCAGCCGATGGTAAGGAGCCCACATGTTCCTTCTGTTTGGTAAAACAACATGCTCCGGATGCTAGCTTTCATGCGTCGTTGTGTGTGTGTGTGTGTGTTTTTGCGCCCCAAGGTTCTTCTTGCTTTTAAGAGCGGTTGAACTGCAAACGTTGGTCGAACTGTGATTTCCGTATGCTTGATTGTTCCTGTGGTCATGTTGATGGGTTGTGGGTGTGTCAAGTACAATCGTAGGTTCTTTATCCCTTAAGTCCTATTGTGTCAAGACCCAGCGTGGCAAGGAGAGTTTTCAACCAAACACATACACACGTGTATATGGTTCCCCGCCCCCCGGGGGTAAAGACTAGTCACAACCTTGGATGGTTCCGTAGTGTTTGGCTCTAGTTGGGTTGCATGACCTGCCAGGGCTGCCATAGTCGGCTGAAGATCGCAGTCGGAACTTCGGGGTACTGCAATCCCTGTTACCTGGCAGGTCGCATCCTGAGGTTGGTGCAGCACCGATATCCACCTTCCAAGGCTGAGGAGCTGACTTCGTTCTTGGCCAAGGTCTTGCACACTTTGGAGGAGGACTCGGAGGCCTTTGAACGTGACCGCGCCGCGGGGGTGGTGGATATCGAGGGATACCTTGTCACCGTGTCCCAGAAGGAAGCAAAGGCTGCAGTTCCTGAGCCACTAGCCGCGGGGGTACACCCTGGGAAGCAGGATCCGGAAGCTGGTCCAGCAGTGGTGAAGAAGGAGAAGAAGGAAGGTGAGGAAGGTAGGCACCGAAGGCGCAGGCGAGAAGAGAAGACAAGGTCGAGGAGCAAGAGCAGAAGGAGGGAGCGAAAGAAGCAGAGGAAGGAACCGACTCCTGAACCGGTGGAGGAGGTCAAGACAGAGGCTGAGGAGCCCTTTGAGGAGGCCGAGTACGAGGCAGAGGTTGAAACAGACGAGAATGACGAGGAGATCGACGACGAGAGTCACCACGACGTGGAAAGCCCAGACGCCGAGGTCGCACGAGACCCAGAGGGAGCGGGACTTCGGAAGGTACCTCCAAAACCCTCCGCACGAAAACCGCTACCTCGACGGCCGAGGACACCATCGAGATCACCGCCAGGTTACCGTGGACGGCAACAAGACGGACCGAAGAAGTGGAAAGGAGTTAAGCATATCATCCGGGGGCAAGCCCTGGGCTACAGCAGCAAAGGCAGACAGCCGAAGGGCAAAGGAAAAGGGAAATGGCACCGAAAATGAGGAGGCCGGCCAGGGCAGATGGCCCAGCACGCCGCAGAGGAGATATCCGTCGCCCAGCTGCTCACTTCGGAGAGGAGGAACCTCGGGGCGAGGAGGCCCTGCCATGGGATCCCAGTGTTGGGGACCTTGTGATCGCCGAGGGTGCTCATTACTATGGCGTCCCCTGTCGCTTCACCGGGAGGATCATGGAGGACATGAGGGACGCATCCGGACGCCATTTGTCCATCAAGCTTCACGGCACAGATCACGAACCCCTCCTCACTTGGGCCACAGGGGCCACCACTCCAGCCCGCGTCCACCTCTGTCCCGAGGGGTGTGCCAGGGCGGCCGAAGGTCCAGGTCTTCTTCATTGCAGCGACCTTCGAAGCATACGGTCCCTCGAGGAGCTAGTAGGAGTCCCCTGGCGAGACGTTTTGCTGGAGGGTCGTGCCAAGGGAGACGACGAGCTTGCAGCATTGAGGAGCCGCATGGAGGGAGTCGGGGGTCCAGGCCCTGGGGCGACAGCAGCGGTCGCAGAGATCGAAGAGAAGGAGAAGAAGGCAAAGGAGGAGAAAGAAAAGAAAAAGTCCAAAAAGAAGAAAAAGAGAAAGCGAAGAAGGAGCCGCAGCCCGCGTTCAGGCAGCGAGGAGTCAAAGAAGGGAAAAGAAAAGAAGAAAAAGAAGGAGTCGGGGAAGAGCCCTGCCGACAGCTCGAGTTCGACAAGCAGTTCATCCACGGTAGAGTTCAAGGAGGTCCCACAGGAGGTGCTCTTCCGGGGTTCTGGCATGGATCCACACCTCCGCAATCGCCGAAAGCTGCGACGCCGAGCTCAACGGATGGCCCGTCGATCCCATCACAAGAAGGAGGACAGCAAGTCGGCATCTTCAGGGGACGGGGCAGAGTTGGCCCTGAAGGGCGATCAGATCTTCGGCGAATCCCAGAAAATTCGAGCAGTAGCATTGCAGTTTCCAGGTGTTTTGACATCTCAAGCGGTGGAACAGATGCAGGAGCTACTCGTCCAGGAGCTGGGGCAGGACCGTCAACGGGAGGGGCCATGGAGCCCCACGTTACTCAGATACTTCAGACAAACGCTATCCCGCAAAATGTCTGGTCCAATGTCCAGGGAAGCTCTGACATTATCGACGATTGGAGATCAAATATTAAAAGGCTTGGTGCCGAGTGCAATGGACACCCTCATTCAGAGATTGAAGTCGCTCGAGGCGCAGTCCTCAGGCCTTGCGTGGACGTCCGCCCAGCGGATGGAACTTTTGCCCCCAGACGGGGCCAGCCTTTCGTCGAGGCAGGAGCTTTCAATAGCTGCAGCGGAGCACCGCGCCGAAGTGAAGGCACATCAAGCAGGGTCCTGGAAGGACTGGGGGAAAGGAAAGGGCGGCAAACCCGAAAAGGACGATGGAGGAAAGGCAAAAGGAAAAAAGGGAAAGCAAAAGCCGAAGAAGGATTAGGTGAGGAAAGCGCATTGAGGAGCACCAGAAGTATTAACCGAGAGGGAACGGGGCGGGAGTGCCCTGACATTGATAGCATTGGTACAGAGCGGGGTGAGGCCCTGGAGCATCAGAGGAGCAGTTCACAGACCACTGC